CTCAAGAAAAAGACAGTGACTTACAACTGGCATCTCAGACAGGAAACTCACAAGCAGCACATCTGTGGGCTTCCTGTGCTGGAGCGCCCGCCTCTCAGGACTGGCACCGGGTTCTCACAATTGCCTCGGGTGTGTGTGTGTGTGTGTGTGTGTGTGTGTGTGTGTGTGTGTGTGTGTGTATGTGTGTGTGTGGCTTTGCACCCACTCTCAGGACTGGCACCGTGTTCTCACAATTGCCTCAGGGGGTGTGTGGCTTTGCACCTGCCTCTTCTGTGAAACTTGGACAGTCGGCAGCAAGCAGACTCTGCAGAAAGAAGCAGGGAGATGTGTTCATTCTGCTTCCTTCTGCCCTGCCCACAGGGAACAGAAATGCCTTCACTGGAGAGCACAGGCAGCCCGGCTTCTGTGGAGTTTCCTCTGAAAGAACGCGTGTGGGGAAAAGAGATTGCAAGCCATTTATAGCAAATGATCTAATTATGAGAGTTTGGATATTTTGGGGGTATGTTCAGAAAAATTAAATTAAACTCATAATCATTCCAAAGTATGACGAGTCTAAAGCTTCCCCAACGGACAGCAGGCTAATTAAGCCTACAAGAGAGCACTGTAAAACTTACCAGTGACATGCCTCTCCACCACAGCTTGGGATTTTTAAAATACTAAATCCATTTGTTCTTTTTGATTTGCAATTTTTATCACATCTTTACCTGTGCCTCGTCCCTCACCACATACAGTATTCTGCATCATCTTGTTAAAAAATATGTCTTAGCCAAGCCTGGTGATGCAGGCCGGTAATACCAGTTACCTGGGGAGGCTGAGGCAGGAGGATGGCAAGCTGAAGGGATGCCTCAGCTACAGAGCAAATTCAAGGTTAGCTTGGACAACTTAGTGAGACATTATCTTATAATGAGAGGTAAAAAGATGGGCAGAGATACAGATCACTGCTACAGCACTTGCCTAGCGTGCGTGTGCTAGGCCCAGGGTTCAGTCCTCAGCACTGAAAACGAAAACGGAGAAGAAAATAAATATGATAACTTTTGCTCAAATGGTAGCCACAGGCCACATGAATGCAATATTTAATCTCATGAACTAAAATGTGCAGCGTAGCCTCCCCATCACTCCAGCCACACTGCAAAACCTCATAGCCTCATGAGCCCTGGGAACATCGACATCATTGCAGAATGCTTGGTTAAACAGAAATTCTTCACAAACAAGGACTGTGCAAGAAACCACAAGACAGTTGTCAATAATGTCTTCATATGTCTGTGGTCTGAATCATTTCCCAGAATTGCTCTAAACCGCAAGAATAAAATGTATCGTGAATTCAGTAGTTCACAGAAGCCCTGCTCTTTGGTTTTAGCTGTGGTCTGTTTCTTCTTCCTCACTTCTGTCTTGAATTTGTCCACTTCTACAGTCACATGGCTAGATGGTGGACAACACAGGGAAAATGGTCCTTCTAAATTGAGTATTACAAGGGCAAGAGTGGAGAGGTGGGTCAAGAAGAAGCTTCCTTGAGGGGGTTCCCAGCCTCTCTAGTGAGGACTGAACGTAGCGTTGCACACGTGTTAGGTAATTATTACGCCACTGAGGTATTTCCCCGGATCCCTTTTTAGTTTTTATTTTGAGACAGGGACTTTCTAAGCTGCCTAGGCTGGTCTTAAACTCTTGATACTTCCTGCCTCAATCTCCCTAGACTTGGACCTGTCTGTACTTGTTGGATACATCTTTAAAGCTGTGCTGAGACAGAGGCTGAAAGCATGGAGCAAGAGAAATTATATCAGCATGCCCAGCCTGTAGGGACAGCTCAGAGATGGTCTTTCCCTCCAGCTGACCACTGGCAGTCCCCACTGGCTATCGCCCTTGCCCAGAGGTTAGCATCCGCTGAAGAGAGATGCCTCTAGGTGAGGCGTTTTCTCCAGGGGAAGTTTACATCCAATACCCGGCTGATAGAATCATAGAGTCCAGTCTCCTCATGTTCAATCTCAAGGTCTGTGCAAGCTGTAGAGTGCCATGTAGAGTCACCTTTGGCGTGACTGAGTCTCAGTCTAGCTTGTCTTTGGCCAATCCTGTGCTTTCCTTCTTCCTTCTGTAGCTCTCGAGATGAGTCCCTAGCAGTTCCCTTCATCATCATTCTGTCTCCACATCAGTAGTCCACAAGCCTTGGAACTGATCTTTACACACACATGCACACACAAGCACGTGAGTGCACACACACATGCACACACACAAGCTCATGAGTGCACACACATGCACACAAATATACATGCACACATGCATAAATACACACATAGGAATAACATAGTTTACAACATGAATAGATCAAAAGAAAAAACATGCAATTACCCCAATCACCATTAAAAGACCTTTTAAAATAACTCATATTTTGATAAAAAAAAATCTTCATTTAGTGAAATAGGAATGAACAAAGTGTGTATGCATTGATTTAAAAATTAATTACTAATAACCAATATCAGTCTTAGTGAAATTAGGTAGTCTATTCTTTTAAATTTTTCTTTTTTGTTACTTCAGTACTGGGTATATGACCCAGGGCCTTGTGTACTCAGGTAAATGTTCTATCAATGAGTCACACACGTCTAACCTTCGATGTTCTGTTTTGGTTTGAGATGGGAATCTTTTTTTTCCCCTTTGGGTTTTTTTTTTTTCTTTTTGAGACTGGATTTTTTCTTTTGTAATAGCTCTGGCTGTACTTTGTAGATGAGGCTGGCCTCGAACTAACAGAAATCCACCTTCCTCTGCCCCTCAAGTGCTGGGATTAAAGGCATGCACCACCATTCCTGGAGAGACGGAGTCTTCTTAAGTACCCTAGAATGGCCTTAAATTTGTCATCCTCTGTCTCAGCAAGAAGACTAATTTATAGTAAGAGAAACCCTTATAGAACAAAAGAGAACTGAAGATTAGCAGTAACCAATTCTAGGACAGAGTGAGACCTCAGGTCCTAGATCTTCCTTCCATTCCTTAGCTATGGCAGCATGTTTGATGCTGCTGACCCTGCTGGACACAGACACCCCTTGGTCACAGTGATCGATTCCATAGGGGAAATGCCAAGACCACAACTGCATGGAAAATGCTTCTTTTTTTTTTTTAAGAAAATTTTCTCATTCATTTTACACACCAATCAAAGATCCCCCTCTTCCCTCCTCCCATCCCCCAGCATCCCTCTCCCAACCCACCTCCCACTCCCCCCTACAAGAAGGCAAGGCCTCCTATGAGGAGGCACATCCAGTAAAGGTAAGTCCAAGCCCCTCCCACTGCCTCAAGGCCACATGAGGTGTCCCATCATAGGTAGTGGGCTCCAAAAAGCCTGCCCATACACCAGGGATGGATTCTGACTCTACACCAGCCCCCTCCCAAAGCAGATCAAGCTACACAATTGTCTCACCATGTGGAGGGCCTAGTCCAGTCCTAGGCAGGCTCCACAGCCATTGATCCAACTTTTCATGAGTTTCTACTAGTTTGGTTTGGTGGTCTCTGCAGGTTTCCCCATCATGATCCTGATGGAATTGCTCATAGATTTCCTCTTCTCTCTCTTTGACTGGACTACTGGAGCTCTGCCTGGTGTTTGGCTGTGGATCTCTGCATCTGCTTCCATCATATCAGTCACTGGAGAAAAGCTCTGTGATGATCAGATCACTGGGATAAGCCAGTCCAACACAATAAAGGCAACTTACAGCAAGCCATAGCCAACATCAAATTAAATGGAGAGAAACTCAAAGCAATTCCACTAAAATCAGGAACAGGACAAGGCTGTCCACTCTCCCCATATTTATTCAATATAGTACTTGAGGTAAGACAGCAAAAGGAGATCAAGGGGATACAAACTGGGAAAATGTTTCTGTCTCTTTAAGCCATCATCATCTGGCCTTTCTCTCAGTTTCCTGATCTCTGAGACCCAGGCAGCTCAGTGACTTCCTCTCTGCTCAGCCCTCGGGCACAGAGACTTCTGCACTCACAGCTGAAGGGAAGGCAGGAGGCTGGGGCTTCTCTGGGACACTTCAGAGTCTATCACCAAGAAAGGTGAGCCTGAGCCTGTGAGCTGGGGTGGAGAGGGGGCTGGGCTGCGAGACCCAAGTATCTGCTGCCTACCCAGCGCATTTTACAAAGCACCATGCAGGTACACACCAGGCATGCAGCACAGACAAGAGCAGACTTCTAGATGCTTGAGGGATGGTCTGGGTTTCACCTTGAGCAAAGTCGGAGGAAGTCTTAGGAGTACACACATTCTTGAGGAGCAGACTTGTTTCTTCCTACACTTCTTTCATCCGGTAAGAGAAATCTGTTCTAGATTCCCTTCCAGGAACAAAGCGCAGGTTAGCCAACACCGTTCCTCAAACTGAACTTTCAGCGAAGGCCAAAGATACTCCTGGGTCCCTATACACCATTCTTTCGAGGCCAGTCTCTAGGTGCCAAGTCTGCGCCCCTCTGAAGTCTCTTATCCTCACCACCTGTAGGAGGGGGGCTCTAACGGACCTTGGAGAGTGGAACTTGGTCATCAAGCCCTGTCCCCACCTAGCATTTAAACCTTTGCTTCCTGATTCAAGTTTCTCCCACTCCAACTGCAGAGACCTTGGTTTCTTTATGTCTACAATGAAGAGTTTATGAAATAGCTCGTTTTCAAACCTGGATGTGGATTAACTTCATGAGAAATGTACCACTTGTACCAGAACCACTGGGGATGGGTTCAAGAAATGTGATGTTGAGGGGAACACCTAAATATTTTTGAGAAACATCAAGCCTGGAGGCAAGGAACCAGATGACTCTTGAGTTCTCTTAAGCATACAGAATCATTCATCCTTTATATTCCCAGATAATAAAAACCATCTGTCACCCAATATCTTACCCAGTGTTTAATTTTCTCTTAAAAACCATTGAAAATAACATCTGCTTTCACTATGAACTCTGGGGATTCCTGGTGGCCTCCCCTGGAGACCCCTGGAGTCCAGCACACACTTCCTCATTTTTCTCCAGGACAAGGTCTTCAAGCTCCTGCAGAAGTCTTGTTTCTTGCCCTCAGTCTTATGGTTGTTTCTTCGTTTCTGCATCGTTTCTGGGAATTTGTCGATTTCTGCACCCAGAACAGTGACACAGAACCACACAGTACGTTCTACTAAAGGCTTTAGAGAGAGAGAGAGAGGGAGTGTTAACCCAACCTGTCCCCAAAGCCCCTCTTCGGGAGACAGGCTGTTGAGCTAACATTTCCCCTTTCTCAGTGTGTGGTGCCCACCGGAGGGAGTGTGGGAGGAAACACATCACCCATAGTGGAGACAAAGAGATTCTGAAATGATGGAGAAATGCAGAGAAACGCTCAGACAGAACGTGGGAGCAAAGCTCTCTCCAGAGAAAAGCCAGAGAGGGCTGGAGAGGCCGAATCTGGTGTCTGTGCAGCCACAGGCGGAGGCCTGTTAGCTGGAATGAGATTGGCCCAGCAGACTGAGGGGACACTGTGCTTTTGTGCTTAGGGACTCCTGGGATCAGGCACATGGGACCAGAGAGCGCTTGGTTCTATCAAATAGCGTTGCAGTCAGAGCATCTTCGGTGGAAGGGAAGCTGCTTAAAGAGAAGGGCTCAGAAACGGGTAAGATAACTTTGTGGAGTTGGTCCTCTCCATCTACCTTTACAGGGGCAGGAGAGCAAGCTCAAGTTGCCAAGATAGCACTGAAGTCTTCTTTCTGGGCTCCCCAGAAGCTGTTCTTCAAAATCCAGATGCTATCTCTAAGAAGGAATAGCAGATTTTACTATAGTGGACAAAGGCACCCACCATGTCCCTAGACACCCACCAGTCTCCCAAAGCACACACCTGTATGTTCAATTCCTTGTAGACAGAAGCCTTACTTTGTCTCCCTGAAGTCCCCTGTTCCCTGGACTCTGCCTGGCGTTGTGATTGGGTGTTGCCTGTTTGCAGGAATGAGAACATGGATTTGGAAATCAGAACTGAGAGTCCTCTGAGACACGTGGGGGGAAGGAAGATGGCAAGAGACAAGGAAAGCGCCTATGGTAAGAGCCCTTCTCTCAAGGTGTCCTGGCTGGTGTGAGAGCCCAGGGTAAGAAGTGGGTGGAGCTTCCTCGGGTCTGGAAGCCCCTGGGATGAAACAGCAGGACCTGGGTCCTGCATTTGGCTGTGTCTCTGTCCCTGCCCTGCTGAGAGAAGCTCAGAGCTTTGACCAGCCTGTCACTGGTTCCTAAGCATGAAGGAGGATGCTAAACCTACTCTGGTCTCCACAAAGATGATGGGAAATCCAGCAGTAGAGTGAGCCTCACTCACCAGGTCTCCAGAACGGGGGACTAACTGGTATTTAGTATTTGGGGATCAGGGAGATGACTGGGTAAAGGCACACACAGCCAAACCTGATGAGCTGATTTCAACTCCTTAGCCCACATGATGGGAGGAGGGAACTGCCTCCTGAAACTTGACCTTTAGCCTCCAGAGGACACAGTAGTATGACCTCCTCATAAATAAAATGTAATAAAATATTATCTAAAAGGGGGGCATTCTCTTTAGGGAGCCAGCTTCAGACAAGAGAGGAGGAAGAGGGACGAGGGTGAACTCTCTTCTCTCACTCTCTAACAACCCAGTTGAAAGCCCCACATTATCTCTGCTTTTGCAGAAGAGTTATGTCCTAGACTGAGCACTCCCTGCCCTTACACAAGGAGCACCTGGTGGGCAGTGATTCAACCCGTGTCTGGGACTGAGGGGCTCCCATGTGCTCAATGGCCAGCATGTGAGGGGAACATTAGGGTCAGATCAGCATCAGGTCGGCCTGTGTGTGCAGGACCAGAGACCCTGGTGGACCCAGGAGTTATGATGAGCACCTTCTGAAATGCAGCGGGAGCACCTGCAGGTGCACAGAGAATCCAAATGCAGAGAGGAAAGATGGGGAGGAGCCTGAGCTCTGAGAGCCCAAAGCAGATGGGAGCACCAGGCTTCCAAGGGGAGCAGGCACTGTGGGTCCTTCCCTTTTGTGCTGAAGGCTAGAACACAGGTGAGTCCCAGGGGAAAGCCATGACTCTGACTCAATGCTGTCATATCTGGTCCTCAGGCTCAGAGGAGGATTCACGGGTCCCACGGATGCCCCTACTGAGGCTCATCCTGGTAGGCAGCACCGGGACCCAGGACTAGCAAGAGTGCCACAGGTAACAGCATCCTGGGCCAGAAGTGCTTCCTTTCCAAGCTGGGGGCTGTGCCTGTCACCAAAGCCTGCTCCTGGGCCAGCAGGAAGTGGGCCGGCTGGCAGGTAGAGGTGGTGGACACCCCAGATGTCTTCAGCTCTGAGGTCTCTCAGACCGACCCCACGTGCATGGAGACAGCCCACTGCTTCCTACTGTCCTTGCCTGGGCCGCAGGCGCTGCTGCTGGTCACCCAGCTGGGTCGCTTCACCACTCAGAACAGTCAGGCACTGGCCGGGGTGAAGAGGGTGTTCGGGGAGCAGGAGCAAGGAGGACCTGGCTGGAGAATTTGCAGGATTACGTGTGCTTCATGGACAACCACAGTGCAGGAGCTGGTGGTGGAATGCCGGAGGGAGTCGGGGGTCGGGTGGGGAAGCGCGTTGCCCTCAACAACCTTGCCAAGTGAGGCACAAGCTGAGCAGCTGTTGGGCCCGGTGAGGAATCACGAGGAAGCGCACAACTCCAATGAGATACATGAGCTGGTGCAGGCCCTGCAGGACGCTGACCCCCAGGACCAACTTGCCAAGGTGGTGGAGATGGGGCCAGCACGCAGGCAGAAGGTCCTGCACACTAGGCTGCTAGCTGGGCTGTGGGTGTGGCAGAAAACCCATAAACTCTCTAAAACTCTAAACCGCTAGGGGCCTCCCTGCTGATCTAAGCTGTACTGTAAGGAAGACTGTTGGGGTCCAGTCTCCAGTAGTCTTTCCCCAGTGTGGAACCAAAATAAGACCAAAATGCTTTCACCTTAAAACTAAGGCCTCAGATTTCTCCTTTTAGGTACAGGCCATGAGTTACTGACACCAGTCAGTCCAGATTCCGGAAACCAGGAAGTGTAAAAGTACAGAGTCACAAGGTAGTCAGTCACGAGGTAATGACTGCCGGACTATGGAATGTTCCAACCCTGGTTTCCAGGGTGACTGACCACAGAAATGTCCCCACCTGAGGGCAGCCAATGAGAAATGGTGGCAGGCAACCACCCCTTTAGAAGTAAGATTAAGCCATGTTTTCTAGAAAGTCCCTAGAAGCGAGCCAATCGGAATTGTACTCGTTCTAGCACCCCTAAATGATGCAACCTTGTGGGTTTTGCCTTTAAAAACTGAGCTTGCAGAGAGGCGGGCACTTCCTCCAGCCTCCACTGCATTGGATCTGTTGGATGAAGTCCCTGCCTAGGCTTGTATTGCTTTTGGATATCCCGAATTAAACCTTGCTTTTGCATTCCAGCACGCTCGTCTTCGGTGGTCTCTCCGGTGGTTGCGATCTGGGCACAACACCCAGGGTTCCAGAACATATGCTACCAACGGGAGAATTAATCTGAGGGAAACAAATCTAAGTACACCAAGCTCTTTAGTTCATACACTTTATTCTTCTAAGACAAAATCTATCTACACAGCTTCAATTCTGTTCTCATAGTCAGCTCCTCTCTGTCCTTTCTCCTTCTGTCCTCTCATTATCCTAAGTCCTTCCCATCTTTGTTCCCCCATCTTCGCTCTCCCACTCACTTCATTCTTCCCAGACAAAATCCCTCGTGAACTGGTGTGTAAACACTTACAGGCAGTAAGTCTTTGACAATGCAAATGGAGGTTTTCAGGGTCCTCGGAAGAGCAGCCATAGTCAGCTTCATTTGCAACCCAAAAGGGGAGTGAATCAAGGAGGTGGGGTCAGTTAAGGGCTGGAATCGGTTAATAAATCAGAAAGGGAATTTATGTGTTCAAACTATATTCTTAGAAGTGGTTAGGTGAAACGTTACTATTCTGCGAGTCACTAAAATAAAGCTGCCCTTTTTTCCTAAGTGACCGTTTTCTGGCAGGGCGGGGGAAGAGTACTCAGTAGGTAGGTAACCTGTGTCACAGCATGAAGTACCTGATGTGAAAAAGCCCTTTTGTTCTGAGTAAATTGAGTGCAAGTCTAGAGGTGCCACTTGGGCTGTGAAAGAAAAGGGGGTCTGAGCTTAATTTGCACAAGAAATAAAGCTATGTACCTAATGTCCACCTAGCCTAGGCAGTGTCTCCTTACAGATATTTACCTTAATTCAGGAGACTAGCAGGTGGTATGGAATGTTATTCTGTCTTCCATTTGTCTTTGGATGTATGAGAGGTATCTCAGATAAAATGCTTTTGTCCAGATCTGGCCCTGGCCTTGGATGCTAGCTAAAGGAGATAATTACAGAAGGCTGACATTTGATTCTAATGCTAGAAACAAAAAACAAAAACCTGAAAGAAGGAAGCTTTGCCTGTGTGACTGTTATCCAAATACCTTAATATACAGGAAAAAACTATGCCCAAAGAATGAGCAATCCACACTGTTTAGAAGTTCTTAGGAAAAAGAATCAATTGGGTAACTACACCAGCACACATGAAATTCATAGCAGGAAGCAGCTGATATATTCCAAAGCCAAATATCACCAGGACTCCTTGAGACTTGGCGTATCCTCTGAAAGTGCCCTTGGCTTCTTCCAGGTATTAGCTTTGTCATAGTCAGCTGAATTCCTACTTCCTGAGGACAGTATCACTGCCCCACTGGATGGGTCAGTCCTACCTGACAGATTATAAACTAACTTTGACCCGTCCACTGATGATCAATTAGTGTCTATTTTGCATCTCAGGACCTCGGACTCTCTTTTCCTCCCTCACCTCCCTAAAATCATACAACTGGAGCTCTCAGGCAGACCCACTTCCCTTCCAGGACTTCAGTTTACTGAAACATTCTGCCCTTTCCTCAGCTCTTCCCTCTTCTCTGCTGACCTCAGACTGCCCCTCCCTGTCAGGGAGTTGTCTTCCAGTCCCCCTAGTCCACACACACACTGCACCAAGAGCTAGAATGAGCACTGAATCTGTCATTCCCATAAATAAGTGCACTGGATTGTCTCATGATGTTTTTTTTTTTAAATGTTTATTTATCTTATGCTCACTGAACAAAGAGACACAGATGCTATCTGCAAAGACATGCAGAGAAGCACACATGCATGCATAGGCATTCCTGTGTCCACTATCAGAAGAGGACACACTGGAAGGGAAGGGTGCAGAGAGTGTTCTGATCAACAGTGCCCATCTTTCCAGGAGGGGGTTGTCTTCTCATCCTTGCCCATCACATCCTGGAGCACCTCTAGTGCTGACTGCTGGTGCAGGGCTAGTGTGGACAGTCTGAATTACTTGGAGAGCCTATCACAGCATGGAAGGCATGACAGGTGGCCTCAAACTCACAGCAATCCTCCTGCTTCAGCCTTCCCAGTACTGAGGTTAGATGTGTAGGCTAACACTTACAGCTTCTCCTTCATGTTTGAAGAAGAGTTTTGCCAGATAAAGAATTTGAGGTTGACATTTTTCCCCCAGTATTTTGTGCCAACTTACTGATTTCTGGTTGGTGATGAGGAAGTGGCAGCACTCTTGTTTAAGGTACCTTCTACATGACGGGCCGCTTCTTTCTTACTGTTTTCAAGATTCTCTTCGACGTCTTTTGAAAGCTTGATTATAATGTGCTCAGGTATGAGTTTCTCTAAGTTTATCCTATCTAAAGTTCATTAGTGTCTTTGATGTGCAGATGAACAGATTTTGTTTAATATGGTCACCATCTCTCCAGCTCCCTCTTCCTCCCCGTCTCCCCCTTCCGGGATTCCTATTGTATGTAAACTTCACAGGTCCCTGATGTGGCTGGTTTCTCTTAGTCCCTTTTTGCTGTCTGTTCCCAGAGTGTACCTCTCAATTGTCCACCTTCCAGTTCACTATTGCCTTTTCTGCTTGTTCAAATCTGCTATCAAGCCCTGCTGTGAACTTTTCATTTTATTATGCTTTTTGTCAACTCCGGAGCCACTGCTTGGTGTTTTAAACACAATGTGCATCTCTTTCCTGGTGCATTCTTTAAATGTTCTTTAACGGGGCATTACTTTAAACGTATCTTTACTTCTTTAGACATGTCCCTTTTGCTTATTCTGAAAGATTTTTAGCAGCTGACTTGAAAACCTTTTGTGGTAAGTCTTACATCTGAGCTTTCTCCGGACAGATTTATTGGAAGTTTTTTTTTTTTTTTTTCTGTATACAGGCTGTATTGGTTAACTTCTGTGACAACACCATGACCAAAGCACCTTGTAGAAGGAAGCATTTACCTGGACTTTTGGTTCCAGAGGGGTAAGAGTCTGTCATGGCCAGGAGGTATGGAAGCAGGGGTGCACAATGATGGAGCAGGAAGCTGGTGGCTAGCATATTGAATAGAAAGTTTTGCTTGCTTAATTTTTGTTGAAAATGGACTCTTTTAAATAATAGGGTGCGGTGATTCTGGAGGTCAGGTCCAGGCTGCCCATGCCAAGGTCTGTTTATGTTGCTGTTGTTTTTGTTTTTGTTGAGTTTTCAGATCTGATTCTGTAAAGTCTATGCCCTTTTGGCACATACACATGTCACTGAAGTCTGCTTGGGTAGTCCAGTGGTCAACTAATGATCAAACAAAATGGCTTAGATTCCTGGACTCAGTAACTCCCCCAGACTGGAGGAGTTCTTGGTGTGTGTTTTGGGACACACCTTCAACATTCACCAGGGGTGCCCAACTCTGCCTTGATTTTGTGTTCTGCCTGTGAAGAGCCTCAAGACCAAGCAGGAGTGAAATCTTGAAGCATGCCCTGGTCTGTCCTGAGCATTCCCCAGCCTCAGCCATGTACACACTGTCCATGTGTGCTCTCCTGGATTCCCAGGAATATGTCAAAGCTTTTCAAAGTCTCCACAGAGAACTCACGCCTCATTTTTCCTCTTAAATGTTCCCATATTTGTTATCCACTGCTCCATTCATCCGTGGTATTAAACAATCATTCTCAAGAATCATTCATAGGGAAAAGACTGTTGCCACCAAGCAAGCTGTTAGACCAAAGACAAGCCTTTCTGTCAGGGTCTTCCAGGAATCCAAAAATGTCAGTTCTCTAGGAATGGGGTTCTGAGGGAACGTCAACTTTATTTGGCCCCCCTTCAGAGGAAGCTAGGTGGTGGTTTTCATGGTGAGTATAGATTACATTATGGTGTTTATTTAAATTTTTTGTTTTAATTTGGTTTTTTTTGTTTTTTTTTTGTTTGTTTTGTTTTTTAAGGCTACAGAAGATTTTTGGATGTGGAAAGTGAGGCAAATTAACCACAAAACTTAATGTTGTTGCTGTGTTTCTTCAGTTGCCATTTTTACGCTCAGTCTATGGTTAGGACACAAAGTTCTCAGGTTTTGTTGTTTGTTTGTTTGTTTTTGAAGTAACGATTTTTGGAGTACTTTACTCTGCCGTTACCACAGACATCACTTCATGGCACACTGAAGTCTTATAGACAGAACCTGGCTTCAGTGAAGGTTGGGTAAAGCAAGTCTTGAAAGAGTTCAGTCTTAAGAACCAGCAGCCATGATCCAGACCAAAACATCATGATGACCATGACTTATGTAAAGACAAGAGGGAAGGATACAGTGAAGAGCTATAAAGTTGTTGTTGTTGTTGTTGTTAGTGGCTAAAAGAAAATGTCAAGTTTCACTGGAACTTAACAGATAATGACACCATTCCCAAATGGGGATCTATAGAAGAAGAGAACGTGTAGCCAGTGGAGTGACTAGGAGCGTCACAGGAAACTCATGGCCTGATGGGAACAGGCATTGTCAGAAGAAATAGTAAAGGTATATGGTGGATGCCCCAGTTCCTGGTAAACGGTTCCGTGTTAACTTCCTGGAGATAGAGTGACCAATACGAATGAGAGTGGTGACATTCTGAAGACATGGTGACCAACAGAGCTGAGAAGGTTGACATCCTGGAGACACAGTGACTGACAGGGTCGAGAGACAGGCTTGCTAATCAGCGCTGAGGAATGGGCAGTAGCTTCAAATGAGTCAGATAAATGCAAACAAGTCACGAACACCATACACCAGGTGACAGATTTCAGATGCCCATGCAGTCTACTCTCCAGGCAACCTCAGAAACCTGTCCAAGGGACAACAAGACCTTACTGGGGTCCTAGCCACAATATCAGGTGGGGTGAAGGCTGGGGAAAGTCATAGCTATTGTGAGCATAACCTCTTGCTAAATTTCAGGGTACTGTTGACTTAAGAAAGCACAAGCTAAATATGCTGCCGGAGACTGTTTGGGTGTGACACGTTTGCTCAGACTTGATTCTGTTCAGTCTAGCCCTTTCCTCTGCAGGAAACACAAGCTGTCAACACCATCTGTGAGGACGATGTAGGTGAAAAATAATAAACAGGAACTGTATGTGGCTGAGGGGAGAAATGTGTTGTGCTGATAATAGCTACATTTTTACATCCTGCCTTTGTTGAGCACATCCTTGACTACTGGCATACCGGTGAGGGAGTTTCTAAGATTGGGTTGATGTGAGAAGACCCACCCTAACTGTAGGTCACAACATTTCATGGGCTGGAGTTTCAGGTTGAATAAAAAGGGGAAAGTGATCTGAGCACCACTATGCATCATTCTTTGCTTACTAATCCTGGTCAAGATGTGACCAGTTTCCTCCTATTCCTGCCACAGTGCCTGCTCTGATAATAATGGACTGTTCTTTCAAACTATGAGCCAGAATAAATTCTCCTTTCCCTCCCTTCTCCCTTCTCTCCTTATGGTTATCACGTGTTTGATCACAGCGAAGGGTAGAGGAACTAATACAGTCCCATTGACAGATGAGCTATGGCTGCCACCTGGACACTGTGGCCTCCTTGTGTTCACAAATAAGCAGACACGAAGAAAAACCTCATCCTAGTGGCATCAACTGGCCCTGGACAGTGAGAGGAAGTCATGTAGCTGTGGTACAACAGGCACAGAGGAATATATGTGGCCCTCCATCCTGGGACCAACTGCCTCTGAGAATGGGCAAGGACAGCCACCTCAGCCTAGGAGGGCTATGGTCACCAGGGACCTTTCTAACCCCTCAGGAGTGGTGATTTTTGTCACACCAACAGGAAGTACCTGTTGAACAAAGGTGAAAGCAGGTGAGTGGCTTTGAGAAAAGGGAGCTGGGGCGGAGGGTGCCTGGAGCCAACTACAGTCTGAGACAGGTAGAATGCAGGGCCAAAGACTGCAGTTCAGCCTGGAAATCTTTTTTCAGTTTCCCTGGGAAAAGCCGAATCCTGAAAGAAGAGATTCCTAGACACATGTGGGCAGTGAATGTACATGGAGCATTCCAATAGCAATGGCCTCGAATGTTCTCCAAGAAGAAACCTGTTACTCAGCTCCAAGGCATACATCTAGCTGGCAGTCACCAAAGGCAATACTTTCAGGACCCACCTCAGCTTTTGCCATGAAGCCATGCTCTTCCCAGGAAGTTCCTGGTGTCAAGCTGAGCCCAGCAGAGACTCTAATGTGTCTCCAGAGCAGGACTCGTGACCGAGCGGTCTGCACTGTGGAGCTCCTTGTGAGCTGTCACAGACTCTGTCAGTTTCCTGCCCTTCTGTGTTCCCTTCAAGGGCACATGGATGGCACCATGGCCCAAAGCCTTCCCAGCCTATTCTACTCGCCATCATCTGTTCTATACAAGCATCCCCGTGTAAACCTCCAACTCTCCTGTCTCTTTCCACGTGCTTGTCAGAGCAACTGACAGCGCTATCATTGCTCCACTCAGAAATGGACCTAAAGAAATACTGCAGTGTATGTCAGAGCCTACAATTAGAATATGCCACATTGCTTATCCTGTGCATCCCTGACCATGTCCAGCTCCAAGTGTCACCTGCTCGACCTGAAGTAGCTAGCAGGGATGTGTGACTGCCCTTGAGCAGAAGGAAATCTCAGGGAAGAGGCACAACTATCATCCAGACCTCAATCCTCCTGTTCCTGGTTCTCGGCCATTCCCATTCATTTTTTCCTTGGTTTGGTAAAATGTCTAGGGCAGACAATCCCAGAGCTGGTAAAGGCCTGTCATACAAGTGACTGTCACTCATTTAAAAGACCCCCAGGCACCAGAGAAAACTCACCTTGGCCAAAGTACACAAACATTTCAGTGGCCTCTTTATGAAATTAGGCTCTTTACCTAAACAAGGAAATGCCATCAGGAGGAAAGCATAAAGTCATAATTCAATTCATCTTTATTATCTGATTCAACTCAATATATTTACACATACATTCTAGACGTTATCATGTTAAGACATATGTAGCATTCAATTATAGTGGAATCACTTCTCGGCCTTTTTGCTAAGATAAAATATAATATCAAAAAAACATATCAATTTCCAGACTTCATTATCCTACCAATAGGTTCATCTTGAAACTAACTAAACACACACACACACACACACACACACACACACACACACACACACACACACACACACACATATATATTCTCAAGGTACATATTAAAGTAGCCGATATTTAAAATGCCTGACCCTTAATACACCTTGCAGAAGGTTTCATATTGTTCATCTCACACGCTATCCACCTCAAGCAACTTCCAGTAGATCTTCACAGCCATGCACAGAACACCATGAATAAGTGGCACACACCAGTGAGGCTGGGCACAAAGACAGAATGAAGTTGGAATGCTGATGCTCACATCCACTTTCTGCCATGCCCAAGAATGCTGGGCTTGTCCCTGTGTGTGGATCCGTTCTCAGGGTTCTTGGGGCTCAGTGTTAACCTGAGCCTTGGTCATGGTGTCAGTCCTGACTCTGTTCAACCTACACTGCTGAAATGGTTTTGACCCTTCGTATCATCCTGATTTTCAAAACATTTCCCATATTCTCTACTGTATTCTCTTGGTCCTCTAATTCCCTACTGCCTGGCCTAACTTGACAATTTATTCATCTGAATACCTACATCCAACATGAGATGCGTTTATCCCTCAACCTTCAAAGTCATGAACTTTCTTTGAGGGGAACCACCCCTCCAGTCATGCCATCCCTCATCCCACCCACCTCTGTCTGATGGCATCCCTCATCCCACCCACCTCTGTCTGATGGCATCCCTCATCCCACCCACCTCTGTCTGATGGCATCCCTCATCCCACCCACCTCTGTCTGATGGCATCCCTGTGTCCCCAGACCTTTTAATTGCTCACTTGAGCTCATTATTTTAAAAAAGTCTAGAAATTTGTTGGCCTACTGTTTTAAACTGGTCCAAAACCACCCTTGAATATGAATGCTCACCATAGTTCTGTCTGAGATTATTGGCTATTGTTAACAGATCTTTCACCTGGGTCTCCCTGCCTTGACCAGTTTCTTTGTTATTAAAAGCACAAATTTGCCCCTTACACTTTTTAAGTATTCTTTTAAGGGCTTTGTTCTTTGTATTATTAGTATAGTCACGAATGTTCCCATCCCCTAGATCCTCCTTCCGTGTAAACAGCACAATCATAATTTTTTCCTTAAAAATGGCCTCCAGTTGCTCCACTGCTGCCTCATCTTCGTGGGTGAACCGACCCAGCTGGACTACCAGGACGAAAACCTTCATTCCTTCTTCACAGAGAGACAAACAGTATTTGACCTCCTCCTCTATCCTGGAAGGGTCCTTTTGAATCTCAGGCAACTGGCTAAATGATGGAGTGTCCACAACCACAATATCCTGCCAGTCCACTGTCCTCCTACCACTCTGGCTTCTACTGGTGACAGGCTGAGCTCCGAGTTGAGATAGGAAGGCAGGTCTCCCCAAGATCGTGTTCCCAGTTGCACTCTTTCCGGTCCCACTCCTTCCTACGAGGATGATGTTTAAGAGTTCTGTTGCAGAGGAAATGGGGAAGGACTCATGACAGTTGAATGATGCAGAACTCATCTTTCCAAGTTATTCACAGCACTAGTTTCATCGTTAAGCTCACCAGCCCTCACCCAGCAGGTCCACCCCACACATGAGAGGGACTTGGACAATGCTCTGCCCACTGCTCACCTATGAACACAGCATATCTCCTATCTCTGAGTCTACCCTGCTCCCTTCTCCAGGACCTCTTCTTAATCCCTGGTACCTATAAGAAACAGTGGCCTTATCTTTGCCTCTTATCTTTGCTGGGTCTAGTCCACATATTTCACTTCTATCTTCCGTTCCTACTGTGACTAAGTCTCCCTATTGCCAACTCCTAATAACCATAGCAAAATGTCTTTGCAGTATTTGAAAATCTAGTCTATACAATTGGATTTTCAGGAAAAACAATCACATATTCTATCAATGATTACCAGTTGTGTTGGTTATCTCATACTAAAATTCATTAAAAGCATGATGAAACTTACTATGTCTTTCAATGATGAGCCAAAGGAACTTCCTGGTTAAAATAAATGTCCAGCAACACTGTTCTTTAATGGTGTTGGTGATGGGAGAGAAGGTTCCTATAAATAGTATTTGCAGGTGCAGAGATCTCATTCTATTTACTCTTTCGGGTGCTCCTGGTACCTTTGCACTTTACCGTCTCTTCTCAGTGGTCCTCCATCATGAACTCCTTGTCAAGTCACCATGTCTACCTCAAACCAAAGAGGGAGGAAAGCCCACCTTGGTCTTCCTTCCAGGAACAACTGCTGAGCTACTCATGCTGAACCCAGTCTCATAGCTCTGTATCCAATCCCTGCTTCTGTACTTAGAAAAGACTCATTTGTCAAGCCTCTGAGATTTGATCCAACCTTCTTGCAGTTGGAAACCCTGTTGCCATCAAAACCACCCTCGTCTCCTCCTAAGAGGTATGCCTAGTCAGTCCTTTTTCTTTTCTTTTTAATTTTTTTGGTTTTTTTGAGACAAGGTTTCTCTAGTTTGGGTGCCTGTCCTGGATCTCACTCTGTAGACCAGGCTGGCCTCGAACTCACAGAGATCCTACTGGCTCTGCCTCCCGAGTGCTGGATTAAAGGCATGCACCACCGCCGCCCGGCCCCATTTCTTTTCTTGAGTTGGAATCACCCCATCTAGTGCCACATATTACCCATATGCCACAAGCATTCAGGCTCCCTGTCCTTGTCATGCCTTAGCTCCTACCCCTCTTGCTCTATTTGCTACTTTCACATTCCTAGTGCATGTATATAAGGGTGTTTGTGTGTGTTTAGATGCACATGTGTGTGCAGGTGTACATATGCATTATGGTATGCATGGAGAGGCCAGAGGACATCACAGCTGTCATTCCTCAGCCACAGTCTACCTTGGTTTTGGAGTCTCTCACTAGCCTGGAACTTGATTAGTAGGTAAGGACGGCTGGCCAGCAAATCTCAGAGATCCATCTGATGCAGTACCAGGAGTGCAGCATTCACCACCATGCCTGGCTTTTTTGACAAGGGTTCTGGGGATCAAACTCAGGTTTTCGTGCTTGTTAGGCGAGTGACTCATCTTCCAAGCCCTATTTACACTTTCTTAGTTTCCCATCTCCAAAGCAGTGAAGAATAAATAACCCAGAGAGAGTTCTGGGTTAAGAGAACAGAAAAGCAAGCCAGTGACCTGAAACTGTCATCACTGAGCTGAGTGTTGAGTCCCAGCAGCAGCAGACTGGGAGAGGTCTCTAGAGAGGTGGGATAGGGGTCGGGAAGGCATTAAAAACCAGCTATGAAAGTGGACATAAAAAACTCATAACTTGCCAGGCGGCGGTGGCACACACCTTTAATCCCAGCACTCGGGAGGCAGAGCCAGGTGGATCTCTGTGAGTTCTAGGCCAGCTTGATCTACAGTGCCAGATCCAGGACAGGCGCAAAGCTACATGGAGAAACCCTGTCTTGAAAAAAAAATCAACCCTCATAACTTTAGGATAATTTGAAGAAGAGACAAAAGTATGCACCTGCTAGTTGGTTTTGAGACAGGGTCTTATTTAAGCCAGACTGCCCTTGAACTCACCATTCAGCCCATGCGCTTGAACTTCTGGTCCTCCTGACTCTCCTTCCCAAGTGTTGGGACTACAGGCATAGACCATCATGGCTAGTTGATGACCTCCTAGGGATCAACCCTAGTGCATTCTGGGTAAGCACTGAGCTACACTCCCAGCCTGAACATTTTCTCATGCTCTCCACTGCCTTCAGAAGGCATTGGTTCTGGGTCATGCCTCACACCACAAGCTCCCGCTGCACAGCCATTTCCCCCACTCAGCCGTACCTTTCTCTCGGAAGATGCAGGGGCTGTTGCTGTTGTGCTGCACCATGCTCTCCACTTGGCCCAGGAGTTTGTCCACCTGCCTCTGCTCCTCCTCCCCGGTTGCCCGGTAGTTGAAAGCCGTGTATCTTTTTCCAAATTTCACGGTGAGATTGTGGAGATCACTATTTTTCTCTATAAATTCTTCTAGATCCTGACCCTCCAAATCTTCTTTTCTGGTAAAGAGAATAATTGTGAACTTGGTGAATTTTTCTCCAAAGATGCGTTTGACCTGGCTGAACATTTTGTCATCACTCTTTATCAAAGAGTTCAGTGGTGTCACCAGCAGGAGGGCATGGGGACCTGGAAAGGTGTGCTTCTTGATATCAGCTGCATCAGGACTCCATGATGAGATCTCTGGAGAATCAATGACCAGAACTTTCTTCCTGTTCCAGACCCTGCTGTGGCATGTAAAGTCCTTGGTGACCCCCTGATCGCTGAGTTGAGTCTTAAAGGGCCGCTTCCCCAGAATGCTGTTTCCTGCTGCACTTTTCCCAACACCACGCTTCCCCATGAGGAGGACTCTCAGTTCTGGCATCTCTACGTCCTGATCAGGTCCTGTAATATGAGGCTGTTTCTTCTCTGGACCTGTGAGACAAGAAAAATAAAAATAGATCCAGTGTCTCCTCCTGTAGTTGAATACAGACGTGACCTGTTCTAGAAAAGCCTCATTGAGCAGGACTCTAATCTCAGGCAGAACCAGCCACCCAGCTAGAAAGCACTGGAAGGAGGGATGGACAAGAAGGAATAGGGGAAACCCAAGATCACAGGAGAATTACTGTGCCAAACCGAGCTTCCACTGACCCTCATTCCTCTAAAGTAAGTATTATAGTATGAGGTCATGGACTAAGGCAAGGGCTGTGACAATCTGATTATAAAATGCCCCTTAGCCTTAAACTCACATAATAAAATACTCAGTTGTTGGTTCATTTTCTTTTAAATATCTATGAAATGCAGAGGCATGCTAAGTGGAAGAAGCCAGACACAAAACTGACGTTCCGTATGACTCCATTATCTGAAGTTCAGAACAGGACAAATTAATCTATGTTTATAGGAGTCCGGGGCGTGGCTATCTATGGGAGGAGGCTATGAGAACTGCTGTTATCCAGAGGAGAGTGTGGGGGCCCACAGAAACTGTCTAGTGAGGCCTTACTTAGGGTCAGAGAATCTGGGCTTGCCTTACCCAGCAGGGCTGCATAATGAGATGTTTTGACCACAGGCACATTGACCAGGTGTTTTGAAGGGTCTACACTTGGCTATACATTGTGCTTTGATTTTGCAAGAGGTCTTTGGCCTCTCCCCTTGGCATGGGGGGAAAAAGCCCCTTTGAATAAACCAAAGGGCGACTGAGTATTGACCTAGGGCCCTCCCAACGCTATCCCATATCTCTCTCTTTCTCCTTGTCATTATCTTTCTACCTAACATTTCCTCATTCCTCTCTCCTCCACCCAAGAACCCTTTGACAGGTCAGAACTGGACTCCAACAGACTCCCATAAGAGAGGATACTATTTTTGTACTAACTTTCTAATTAACACACAAAATAAATGCTTGACCATGTGTATTTATTGTTGCATTATTTACAATATAATAATTAGCCTAGAAACCATCAACAGTTAAATGAAGAAAACGTGATATGGGGTCTAGGGAGACAGCTCAGTTGCCAAACAACTTGCCTTGTAATAATGAGGATTCTAGTTCAAGGTCTAGAACCCATGAAAAAATTAAAAATCCCAGCATGGTGGTGCACACTTGGAATCCCAGCACTGTGGGACAGAGATAGGCAGATCCCTAGAGCACTTTGGCTGGGTAGTCTTGTCCATAGGGTGAGTGCCAGGCCAGGACTAGATCTTGTCTCAATAAAAAAGTGCATGGTGTCTAAAGTGATGCACAATGTTGTCCTCTGGCTTGCATATTTACACAATACACAAACATATTCACACACTTACCTACCTGCACATACCCATGTACACATATACAAACGAGAACACTCACAAATGTGACATATATGTATATATGTGTATATTTTATCAATTTAATATAATTTATCTATTTAATCTGTAAACTTCAGGTTTTTTTTGTAGCTGAATAATATTCCATTGTGTATATGTACCACATTTTCATTATCTTAATCTAATATATGTGTATGTGTGTGTGTGTGTGTGTGTGTGTGCATATGTGTGTGTGTATATATATGTATATATATAATATATTTGACTATAAAGAAGGATAAAATTATGTCTGGATAGGACTAGAAAACAAAATAATGAGTCCTTGCTATGTCCCTTTGGACGTTGTTCCCTTCTGACTCTCAGGGCACACAAGGGTAGAATGCCCCAGGCTGTTGAAAGGGTGAGAGAAGATTCCACCCAGGCAGTCTCTGCTAACTTGACAGGCATAAAGCAGCTACAGAGGGTTTATGGTGGAGGAAAACTTGAGTCAGACTTTGAATCTTACTCCCACGCACTTCCTCCTTGCCCTCACACTCTGCACATAGGAGCTCCTCACCTACTGTCCACACATGCTGCTTATTCGGGTTTCCATACAAACAGGACTGCTTCTCAAGAGCTCCCCCAGACTGCTCCCACAACCACACAAGCCAAGTGCCATGCGTTTGCCTTTACTTAAAGAGGATTGTAATCCTAGTCAGAACGGCTATCAAGAACACAAATGACATCAAACGCTGGTGTGGATAGGGGGGAAAGGGAATGAACCCTTATATATAGTTTGGGGGTAAAAAGTGGTATAGACACCTTGGAATTCAATCTGGAAATTCCTTAAAAAAAGAAAGAAAGAAATGAAACTCCCCTATGCTCCATCTAGTCCACTCCTGACATAAACCTGGTAGACTTTATACCATACTGCAGAGATCTCTGCTCATCTGTGATTATTGATGCTCCATTCACAATAGCTAAGCAATGGGCGAAGCTCAGCTACCGCTCAGCTATTGAACTGACGATGAAAATGTGGTACATATACACAATGGAATATTATTCAGCTACAAAGAAATCTGAAGTTTACAGAAGAATACGTAAAAATAATTATACTGAATGGTGTAACCCAGGGCCAGACAGACAGATGCCTCGTGTTCTCCTTTGTATGAGGATCCAACTTGAACTTCTTGTCCTGCTTGTTTGATGGGGAGTTCCTGTGGAAACAGGAACTGAGGAGGGGTATGAGGGCAGGTTTCCTTGTGGAGGCAGGGGTGGTAGAACATAGGTAGACGGAAGTAGATAAGAGTAGAGGAGTTTAAGAAGGAAGGGGTGTGCATACTGGGGGGGGGGGGTACAAGGAGGATCAGCCAACAACAAAGGGTCTATGAAAAAACCCTTACAGAAACCCATTGTCTTGTCAACTTTCTCCCCAAGAAAACAAAGCGAACAAAGTATACCATTCCATTTATTTCCTTTCCAATGAGGGCTCCTTCAATACAGAGAGCCCACATAGTGCAGTGGATAGAAGCGGGTGCTGGGAAAGCAGACAGCGGCCTGCTATCAGTCCCAGGGCAGTGCCAGCACGCCAAGACCATGACCACATGCAGCATGTCAACAGTTCCAAAATATCCCTCTATTGACTGCAAGGACAGCTGTGGCCTCTCTCTGACCTCACCATCCTGAGGATTAAAACAATCCTAAAGTTTCTCGCTGTACCCATTGCTCACTAATACCCGGTCCAAAGCATGCCTGACTTCCTCAGAACCATCGAGTGCAAGCCATGTGCCACTGAAAGTTCTCTCCCGCCCCCGGGATGTGGTGTCTTCACTGTGTTAGATCATCCACCGTCACATATATGTTCCTGAGGGTTTGTACTAATGGGCATTCACTGAATTTTTAATCCCAAGGCCTGTAAAATCAGTACGTTGATAAGACACCTTCATTCCATGGTTCTTATGAAAAAGAATGCCTTCCATGGCCACTAGTATGCCTGCCAAGATATTATAAACTGTACATATTCTCTACATATAATTTTATAGACTTTGAGGACTGAAGTACATGTATATTATTTCCTAGCCCACAATGTTAGCTTCAATTATTATTATTACTAAACTTCATAACTGACTTTTTTTTTGTAGTACTTCATGAGGAAAGGATGTTGTCTGTGAGATTCACTGTGAAATTTTTCAGTTCTTACACAGGGCTGACCCAGAAATAAGCCAAAAATGCATCTGTGACTTCATAAGCCTTGTGTGCCCTCACTATAGACATTCTATTTATTATTGTGTGCTGACCTGTGCTGCTGCATAGGACACACAAGTAACGGAAGTACGTACAAAGATGCTAGGAGCTAGCGTCATCCATGGGGAGTGTTTCCTGGTCTCCAATCAGGAATGCTACACCCATGATCAGGAAGAAGAAACAGAGTTGGGGGAAAGCCATGGAAAGCAAGGCTGGCTCCATCCATACAGAGGAGGCTGGGGACACCACAGTGTCTAGCACCTTGACTGCTACTGTGCTGAGTCACACACATCCTCTGGGAAACGGTATGGACACCCACATATACTGGGTCTCTATGTACCTTTTGTTTCTGATTTATTAGTTTTCCACTTTCCTTCGACTGGGCAGTGCATTCGAAGAATGTAGACATGAGTCTAAGTGTTGAAGTGATCTACTTACCACACAGATTGTCTCCTTCCTCATATGGAGCTCGACTCCCACAGCCCTAGAGAATAAAGGGGGAAATGACATACACATGGCCAAAGAAGATCATTCTCTGCACAATAGCAATCGGAGATACAACTGGAGACAGAATATCTGCTGATTAGGAAGTGGTCACAGTAAGGTCACGGTCCTGGATTTCCTCTGTGCACCTGTTCAGTTTTCAAACTCACTGATAGTGTTGAACAGGTTCCCAGGGATGGAGACATTTCCAGTACCCTTGCTGCTCCCCAGGATGGTGATGGAGCCTCTGACATGAAGTTAAATTGATAATATTTCACCAGGTGTGGAAAAATCAAACACATAATTAACATGAAAACAATCCGTTCAGTCTTGGGCTATTCTTAGAAACTTCCTGAGCTCCATTCTAACCTTATTTCTTAAAGCTCACGTCAACCAGAAGAGCCTGCCTCTGCTTCCTTACCTGTTCTCACCAACATCTTTAATGCATTTGATATTCTCTCTCTCTCTCTTCCCTCTCTCTCCCTCCCTCCTTCTTTCCCTCCCTATCTCTCATCTATCTCTTTCTCATTGCTTTATTGTAAATATGCTATGCATGATCTAAAAATTAGTGATCTTCCGACCCCTAGGAAAAGTGACAGCCGTCAGCGCTTACATAACCGTCTGTATTTCTCTGTCTTTATACAAACATGCACAAGTATCCACACACATAGGAGAGACTCACAGAGCTTCCTGTTCGGCACTCTGCTTGGTATCATAAACTTCACACCTGCACAAGTTAATAAAGAGGGAGCCACCTGACACCCTTTAGTTGGTCCAACCTACCCTATACTATGAACACACGTAAATGATGTAGCCATCTTCTCAGTGGTGGGCCTTTGGGTTATCTCTGGTTTTGCTATTTCAAAGGATGCTGAGGTAAGAATCTTTATATATCCTTCCCTTTGGATTGCTGAAATCCCTAATATTTTAAAAGATTTATTTACCATTTTGTTTTACATGTGTCAGTGTTTTGCCTACATGTATGTATGTATGCAAACCACATGTGTACCGTGACTGTGGAAGTCAGAAGAAGTGGTAGGTCTGGAACTGGAGATGGTTGTAAGCACCTGTGTGGATGTTAGGAACTGAACTCAGGTTCTCCGCAAGAGCAGCAAATGCTCTTTTTTTTTTTTACCCCTCCCCCCCAGCAATGCTCTTAACCACTGAGCCATCTCTCCAGCCCCCTGAAATCCTTAATATTCATAATTCCTCTAATCCTCATACATCTCAATAATAAGAGCTAATAAATACTGAACATGTATTTATTAACAACCTTTTAAGCATCTCATTTATCTCCACAGCAAATCCCAGGGGCATCTTATGACATCTGTTTTATGACAGATTAACAGGTGTTCTCTATCCTCATGGGCTCTGTAGGGATGTAGTTATTGTAAATATATCTACAGGAACCCCTTGAGCTGGTAGTGACTGATGCAAGGGGCATTATGAGGGCGGAGAAGTTGAGGATCCAAGCAGGGATGAGAGAGTCAGGAGGCCAAGGAGACAGAGGAAATGAGTTGACACTGAGTGGGTGCAGCCACGGAGCAGAGCTGGGGCAGGGTGGGGGGCAAAGGCAGTGCCAGTGCAGAGGGCAATACAGGTGCACAGTGCCAGAGTGGACATGAGCATAACTGGAGAGCAGAGGGAAGCAGTGAGACCAGCCATAGGAAGCAGGACATGGCAAGCCACCGAGGTGAGTCAGGAACTATGATTCATCTTAAGATCAGGGAGAAGGCCGGGCGGTGGTGGTGCACGCCTGTAATCCCAGCACTCGGGAGGCAGAGCCAGGCGGACCTCTGTGAGTTCAAGGCCAGCGTGGTCTATAGAGCTAGTCCAGGACAGGCTCCAAAGCTACAGAGAAACCCTGTCTCGAAAAACAACAACAACAACAACAAAAAAGATCAGTGGGAAGCTGCTGAGCATTTAAAGCAAGATTTTCTTGTGGGAAGCTCATTCTGAGCCCCTTCTCTGCTGGCATCCCTGTACCATGTTTCACTCAGGGAACAGACAGACCGTCCTAACACAAGGTACACGTCAGGGTAGGAGACAAGATGCCATGAGCCCCACTTCCTCATCTGTAGAACACCTTTACGTGGAGTTCACACAAATACTTGGTGATGTGTAAGTCTGGCATTTAGTAGGTGCTCAGTGAATGCTGACTTCTCTCTTGCTCCCATCCTGCTAAGGCTCATTAGTCATCAGTTGGGTGGCATCTCCATCAGTTGGGTGGCATCTCTCTGAGCAGATCGTTCCAGGGCTCACCTGCTGCTTGACCCTTGCCTGCAGAATCTTCTGTACTGATATTCACCTGCTCACCCCATTGGTGAGGACCTGGAGTCAATGCATACATTACTCAGTTGGGTAACAGCTCTTCACAGAAAGTCTTCATTTCTGTAACCACCTTGGTTGCAAATCCACTTTCCCCTCCGTGTTAAAGACTTAAATGTGATTAACAGTTGGTGATTGTATGTGACATGGAGTGGAAGATAAGGCCCCTCAGTGAATGAAGTGAAAATTGTTGCTAGGTTAAAATGGTACAGAGAAGAAAGACTGCAGCCCTGGACCAGACAATGGTGGCAGAGACAGAAGTTGGTGGATTCCAGAAGCGCTGATGTCACGAGACCTTTGGTAATTCCTTGGACATCAGAGAGCAATTGTTTCAGAGCTAAGACTCTGTGGGAAGCAACACAACCATTGGCTGAGGAAGGAGATTTAAGGGGTGGTGACAAGTTTAAACAGGTCAAAGATGAGTTAGTGTGAAAGTCCTACAGAGTTGGAACCAAGCTGTGCTAAGACTGCTGCTTTGGGAACCGAGGACCACAGATGGTCCTCCAGGTCGTAAAAGTGAGGGGTCTCCTTGGATGAATGTGAGGAAATGGAGAAGGGTCCAGTGAGATCTGAGAACACCGACCTCAGAAGCCAGAGACTGGAAGAAGACTCCGATGTCTTTGGAACAGCCAGAGAGAGAGGTGGGAAAAAACAAGACTAGGTGTTTTGTTGTTTGGTTTTTGAGAGGTCAGAAGAAAGACTATGCAGAGTCCAGTGTGTTCAATAACATGGGGGGAGGTGGGCACATGACACAAGGGTTTTGTTTCCCATTAACTTTCCAGTTAAGTCCAAAGTCCCTAGACTGACACTCAAGCAGTTTGATGTCTCCACCTATTACTCTTAGAGCAGTTCTCAACCTTCCTGGTGCTGCGACCCTTTAACACAGTTCCTCATGTTGTGGTGACCCCGACCATAAAATTATTTTCATCACTACTTCATAACTGTAATTTGGCTGCTGTTAAGGATTGTAATGTAATATCAATACGTGACCCCTGTGAAAGGGCCGTTCAACCCACAAACGTGGCCCACAGGTTGAGAAACGCTGGCCTAGAGCATATAAACACATCTCCCTAAACAAAGCATGTCTGTAAAACATAAGATAGTCCATTAACTTAGGGCTATGTTCCTCCTACCAGTCAGTCCTACCTGGACTCCATTGTCTTCCACTTTCAAGGGCACAAGATGGCCCGGGCTTTCCACCATCAACTGCTTAATCATATCGAGGAGCCGGAACACCTGCTGTTCCCGCTGCTCCTTGGCTGCCTTGTTGTTGAAAGCACAGTATCGCCCTCCAATGTTTTCAAGCAATGCCTTAAGAGAGCTCTTGCTTACGATGTAGTCCTTCAGCGAGTCTTCACCCAGCTCATCTTCCCGGGTGAAGACCACGATCATGTGACGGTAGGCGTTGGGGCCAAACACACCCTGAATGCCCTCAATGGTGTCCCTGTCCTCCTCTGTATAGTGGCCAATGGGAGTGACCAGGAGCAGCACTTGGAGTCCATCAGCCGCCAGCAGCTCCAAGCACTGCTTCAGGCTTCGCTGCCTGACCTCCTCACAGGCCAGGGAGGAGAAAAGATCCGGGGTGTCGATGACAATGACCCGCTGCTCCCCTTTCAGGGACACACTCTCACTCTGGCACTGGGTGGTGACCACGTGATCACTGAACTTGGACTCGAACACGGCCTTACCCAGAATGGTGTTTGCTGTGGCGCTTTTGCCTGCGCCGTGTTTCCCTAACATCAGGAGCCGCAGTGTGGATGTTCCCTGGCTCCGCGTGAAGTTATCCTCCTGGTCCCGGCTGGTGCTGTTGAGACAAGGGCAGCACATCAGTGCTCCTCCCAGCAAATGGAGAGGGACGGCAGGAAAACGGTCCTCCTGTTCCCTGCGAATTTAAACTACTAGGTTGGGAGGCAGCTCAGCTGTAAGGTCGCTTCGCTAGGGTGAGGCCTCGGAGCCCAATGGAAGCCCGTGCTTGTAGTCACGTGATTGGGAGACGCAGAGACCCTGAGCTCGCTCCCGGGCTAGCCTAGCCTAAGGTTGGGACTGAACCAAGGGCTTCATGCCTCCTAGGCAAGCACTCTGCACACTAAGCCTCATCTCTGGCCCTTGTGGTCCTCATTATAAAGTGTGATATTTATTCTAGAGGACTCAGTGAACTCTGAAAATGTTAAGGAGGAACATGAAATCCCCATGAGCTCTTCTCCGAAGTGGCCATTGCTCAACGTGTGCTTCCTTCATATAATTCCACCATGACTTGTCTCCACAGAGGAGTTCTTATTCACTAATAATAACATGTTTCTCAAACGCATCTCGAAAATGAAGAAAAACATGAACAAAAAAAGTTAAAGGCAATCAGTGAAGAATCACCTATGTTTGTGGTGTTTTTACTGTGTATGTATTGGCATCTGCAGTTTCGCCACACCCACAGATACATACGCGCTCCTCGGGAGTCAATTCCTCTCTGATGACCATGAGCCCCCTTCAGTCTGAGGCTAGGAGTTCCCTGAGAGTGGCTCCAGATACCAACGCTAAAGAAGCAGCGGTCAGAGAGCTGGGGAGATGGCTCAGTGGTTAAGAGCCCTGACTGCTCCTCCAGAGGACCCGGGTTCAATTCTCAGCACCCACATGGCAGCTCACACCCATCTGTGACTCCAGGTCCAGAGGATCTGACATCTTCACACCAAAAACTTTTCTTAGAAAAAGAAGTGATGGTCAAATATCTCACTTTAGAATACAGCTGTGGAGGCACAGTGTACATCTCTGCTGTGAGGCTGCAGGTGTCTGACTCCCCATGAGAGCTGCTGCCTAGGCTAATCTCAGAGAAGCTGTTTGATGGGGCTTCTGGAGTCTCTGAGGCCAAACCTGGAGCGTGGCCTGGAGGCAGCATATGAGTAAAGACTGTTCTAGAACCTTTAGGTTTAATGTTGTCTGTCCTGTTTGGTTTTAGACTACCTGAGTCTATTATCTACTCTGACCTATGTCTCCCTTTTGAGATAGGAAAACTCTCGCTGGGCCGCCTCACTGATGTACATTGGAAGCATTTGTTTCGAGTTCCCAGGCTCACAGCTGGAGGAGAATTTGCCTCAGGATAAGCCCTGTCTGGAGTTTCATCCTTATCTGCCTTCAGTAAGACTGGTGGACTTTGAATTTTTGAGTTAAAGCTGGGCCAGCATGTTAAGATTTGGGGAGTTATGGAAATGAAATGAGTACACTCTGTATGTGACTCAAACACAAACTGGAGGTCTGGGGATAGAGTTTTAGGATTTGAATGCATCCGCCAAAGTCGGACACTTCATCCAACATTCAGCAGTGTTGGGAGATGAACCTAGGAAGAGAAGATAGGACATGAGAGTTCTGTACTCACACGCAGCTCAATACCATTCTGGTGGGAGTGTCTTAGGATATGAGGAGAGTGCATCATTATAAAAGTGAGTTTGTAGGGTGAGAGGGATGGCTCAGTGATTAAGAGCACTTGCTGCTCTTGCAGAGGACCTGGGTTCAGTTCCCAGCACCCATATGGTGGCTCACAACCATCTGCAACTCAGTTCTCGAGGATCTGATTCCCCCTTTTGGCCTCTGCAGGCACTGCAATATGAGGTGCACACACATGCATTCAGGCAGAGCACCCCTACACATTTTTTCAAAAGTAAATAAACCATTTTAAGTGAATTTGCACCCCTCCTGCTGCCTCATATGCACTCCCCTGTAGCTGGATAATTTCTCTCCAGCTCCTGCCGACCCCCACCAGTCCCGGAGCCCACTTATAAAATAAACACACAGACTCTTACATTATTTAAACTGCTCGGCCATTAGCTCAGGCCTACCATTGTCTAGCTCTTACTCTTATACTAAGCCCATTTCTGTTAATCTATATGTTGCCACATGTTCCGTGGCTTTACCTGTTGCCTCTACATGATGCTCCCTGAACGGCAGCTGGTGTCTCCTCTCCTCTGCCTTCCTCTCCTCTTCTCTTTCCTCTCTGTTAGTCCTGCCTATACTTCCTGTCTGGCTACTGGCCAATCAGTGTTTTATTTATACAGAGTGATATCCACAGCACTCCCCCTACCCTTCTCTTTTTCATCATAGTATAACATAATATGAAGGCCTTTGCCAGGCATGGACCCCCTGATCTTGGATTTCCCAGCCTCAGATATCTGATGACACCAGTAAATAATGCACTATCAGCAGGCCATCAGGTAGATGGACAACGAGCACTCCATCCTTGTGGAGGTGTAACTTATGTGATCAGAAGGATGGTCTGCTTTCATGAAGCAGTAGCCCCAATGCCCCTAATACAACTACACCGCCTTCTCTCTCAAGGCCAGAATCTGTGACCTCATGTGGCATCCCCTGCAATCAGTGGACAGAGCAAAGGGAGACTTGGGCTTTGACAGACGATTCTGTACAACATGTCGGCACCAGCAGCAGAGGACAGCTCCAGCACTGTGTCCCAGGCTTGGCATCTCTTGAGGACAGTGTTGGAAGGCTATTCCCTCCATGGGCAGAGCTTTGAGCAGTGCACCTTATTCATTTCACTAGCAGAAGAAATGGTCAGATGTGCAACTATTACCAACATGTGGGCTCCAGCCACCAGTGTGGCTGGGTGCTGTGGATTTGGAAACAGCATGGCTGGGAAATCAGTGCTAAGCTGGTCTGGAAGAAGTGTCTGGAAGGCTCTGAAGGGAAGAAAACCAGGAGAACTTCTGACCTCAGCAAAGGAAGATCTTGGCCATCAAGTTGATAGGATGACCCACTCTGTTGTGCCCGTCAGCCTCTTCCCCCAGTCACCCAATCATCAGCCAATGGGCTAGGCACAAAGTGGCCACAGTTTTATACATGGGCCTGGTAATGTGGAAGCACTGTGGGGCGTTTACCCACCACCCCCACAGTTCCCCAGAGTTTTCTTGAGTGCGAGCAGCAGGAAATATTAGATAGAAGGATTTATAGAATCTTGCAGAGATAAACAGATAGAAAATAAAGGATAGCCTCGAGAGGGCCTGGAACCTATTCCAATGGGCCCCGACTGTCTCTGCCCCAGGGTTTTTATAGAGACACCAAGGGGTGGCGCAAAAGACCACCTCCCCCAGCACAGCCAAGTGCAGACCATCCCAGACACCTGCACTCAGATCCGTGGTCCTAATCATCCTCTATGCGGACCTGCTGGGTAAAGCCACGAGGAACCCAAGAACGGGCTCCCAAAAAGCACACAGTGCCATATATCTCCATAGCCACGATTCATGGTTCAGGACTCCACAGGTCAAGTGAGAACAGCACCACTCAGCATCAGCAAAACATTTGCTCCAGTCCCCAAAACCTTCCACTCTGGTGGCACAGAGGTCTTGGTTACAGAGAGCAGAATGTATCCACCAGGACACAACCATCACCCTGAACCAGCAGTTAAGAGTGAACATAAGTCCTCTCAGTCTTCCCAGGATGTAGCCGGAGGGAACCATGGGCTCAGCCATTGAGAGGAGCTTCTGTGATACAGGAAATCATCGCACATCAAAGGGCAAGTGGCCACGGAGACAGGAGGTCAGAGAGGCCCCCAGAGCCCAGTAGATTCTGCATCTGCTTCTCCAGGAGACCCACAGTCCCAGTAGCTCGTGCTGACCTCCTCCTGGGGGACCAACTCCTGGGACGCCCCCTACCAGTCTCTTGAACCCCCCAGTCTGCCCTCTTCTTCCCCCTTGGCAGGAAGACAGACCTCTGGCAGGAAGTTGCCCCACAAACTTTCTTAGGAAGTATACGCTACACCCCGTCTGGATTTGGTTGGGAAAAAATATCCCAGTGCTCTTGAAATCAAACGTGACACAGGGCAGGCTGGCTGCCTTCCATGGGCCAAACATTCCCCCAAAAGTTTAATCACACACACACACACACACACACACACACACACACGAAACATACCTTGGTCCTTCCCCCTGTCCTATCGATGTCTCACAGCTTGTGCGCTCCACCTGGCTTCCTCCAGCTGCTCCTCTGTGAGATGAAGTGGCCATCTGTAGCCTCAGGCCAGTGGACGTGAATCGTAAAGAAGGCAGGAGCCACACAAGGAGATTCGAGGATTCACCAGGTCACTAGGACCCCGGTCTCCCTGGTAGGAGGATTTCCTGATTTTCTGGGAAGAAAGAAGTTTCTAGAAGCATGTATTACATCAGGAGAGTCTAAGAGGGAGCCCAGAAACCCTTCGCAGGATAAACACGGAAGCTTAGGGAGGGGCCATATGAGCACACAGGCACAGCTTTTCTGGAGATGCCCTCGGGGGCCACCGTGTGGCAGAAGGCTGTGGGAGCTGCAGACAGAAGATGTAACAGAAAGGCCAGCTTGGGTCTTGTCATGGTGAACTTCTGATGAGAACGTGACCCAAATCTAGAGTCATCTGGGAGGAAGAAACCTCAACTAAATGATTGCTCCTACCAGACTGGCCTGTGGCCATGTGAGAGGCAGTTTCTTAATTGCTAATTGATACCAGAGGGCCAATTTCACAGTGGCCTGTGCCATTCCTAGGGAGGCTGGCCTGGGCTTTGTAAGAAAGGTACCTGAGCAAGCCAGAGGAAGCAGAAAGCAGCCTTCCCTCATGGTCTCTACGTTAGTTCCTGCTTCCAGGTTCCTGCCTTGAGCTCCTGCCCTGCCTTCTCTCTGATGAATTAGAGCGTGTAAACTGCAACCAACCTTTTCCGTCTCAAGTCGCTTTTGGTCATGGTGTTCATCACAGTGATGGCTAACTAGAGAGCTCTATTCTCTGCAAATACCAAACTCAGAAGTTTTGAGCAAAGCCGATTTGGGGGTAAATCCCAGCAGGTTTTCCTCCTGGCTCATCCTTACCACCACCTCACTCAGCATGGACTGCTCCAAAGATGGAGGTAAAACCATAAAGAAATCATTTACTTTCTCCCAGAATTCAGTGCTCCCTCGTAGATAAGTAGAAGCTTTTCCCCAGCTAGCAAAACACAGAAATGTTCGTGTTTTTAAGTGACTCACAGAGCTCACTGTGTCCCCGCAATCCCAGCAACCCAATCTGGTCTATACTGCCTAAGCAAGAGCCACACTGAGCAGGACACAGTGTCCTTGTTAGAAATCTAAAGTAAACTGCGCTTGTGCTATAATCCTCTTGGAGGACTGGGGGACGGGGAACGTACAGGATATACCTTGGTGAGGAAAACCACCCACCCACTCCCCTCACCTCCTTAATAAAGAAGGCACACCCTAAGAACAGTCCCCCACCTCCCCTGGGCACCAGGTCAATGCATAGGAAACCATCTCATCAAACGGATGAGGTGAAAACTTTAGACAGCGTGTGCAGGTGCCTGCGAGGGAGGGGCTAAAGGCTAGAGAGCTCAGGCTGCTCCAGAGCAGAGAAAGCCATAGACTGAGGGGGAGCGGGGATCGTGAGTGAACTAGCAAGCTTTGGGGGAGTGCTTAAAGTGAAAATAAAGCTTCACATAACTCCTTCGTGATCTAGCAGGGTGACGATTTGCCAAATTGGCCTTTGCGCGCGGAATGATCTTTCAGCAAGAGTTGATCCACATTGTTTCTGGTTTGGCGCTAAGGAAGGATGGGAGTCTCCTGCCCTCTAGTGGCCGTGTATAATGACACATGGAGCAAATGTGGACCTGCAAGATCCCTGGGGACTCTCCTAGCTCTCAGTAGGGACAAGATGAAGAGGGACTGTAAACTGACAGAAATTGAATAAGGAGAAAGACATGGTCATGCAAGGAGGATTCTACCATGACAAGGAACTGTGTGAGACCAGAGTCAAAGATTAGCAAGGAACCTGGGCACAGTGGCACACACTTTGAATCTCAGCACTTGGAAGGCAGAAGCAGGTGGATCTCTGTGAGGTCCAGGCAGGCAAGGCAAGAGCTACATAATGAGACCCTGTCTCCAAAACCAAACAAACAAACAAAACCACAAACAAACAAAAAAGAAGAAGAAGGATTTCCCAGGAGCCCACAGTCTCAGGACAGGGAAGCCACCAAGCCTGCCACAACGAAACTGCACATAGGATGTGGGGCACAGGGGTGCGTTTGGTGAGCCCTGAGAGCAAGGAAGAATATGTGTTATACATCCCGTGAGGTGTTAAGCAAATCCATGAGAGTTTGTTAAAGGGTATCAATGATTTATTAAGATATAAAATGGGGAGAAATACACTCACGGGTACAGAACAAATCCCACAACAGTGAGGTACAAAATAACCTCTACTCTGGTGCTCGTGGTGATTGTTGGAACAGCCAGGGGGTGATGGCAAATGTCTGGCTGGGGCAGCTCTCTGGTGAGATTCAAGGGCATCTGAGCTGTAATTCCAGGCCACCATTGCACATTAGGGTATGAGCTAAGAAGTTCCCATCTGCTCCTTGTGGAAAACCCCACTTCCCTTCTGCAGGTGACAGACACTAGCCAAGGCTATACTTGGTGGGACTGTAAGCAAGAGGGAGGAGGCTAGCCCACTGTAATCTGGAAAGGTAAGGCGCTACCTTTCCCTCTGTAAGGTCTCTTGCATTTCCGGCATACTGTGAAGATTCCCTTTTCCTTCCCCTCCTGGCCTGGACTCACTTCTTCTTTTCAGAAGGGGCAGGAGCAGAGCATGTGGTTCTGATGTCTGCCCTGGCAGTCTCCTTCCCACCAGGCTCTCATGTGCAAGGGGCCTGCCAGAAGTCAGGCTTCCCTTCTCCAGAATGGTGAGCCCTCCTTCCTCTCACACCGGATTTGCGGCCAGTTTGTGTTCATAAGTATCCCTTCCAGGTCAGTTTGGCCTGACCAACCGTAGGATGGGTTTAACTGCAGGCTGAGACCAGTTGCGTCTCCACAGGAAGGAGCGCTTTCTTTCCTTGGGGACACCCAGGGAAAAGAGGCACAACTTGAGTTAATGTGGTACAGCTGGCTCTTTTTTGCCTCCAAGGGCTAGCCTTCAGGGTAAACGCGGGCCTCTGGTAGAACCCACAACACAACCTGTGTTCTTTTATTGCCTGTGACTCATGCCTGGTCTATGTTTGACCTCCAGACCCTGACCTTAAAATCCCATCAAGCTTCTTCCCTATCATATAAGTCAGCCCCATTTCTAGATTTCTGCCTAGTTGTTTCTTACTAACCAGTGCACTTCTTCAACCTAAGTGTAAATAACCAGCTCTATTTTGAACTCTTTACCTTCACTCAACCGGTCTCAATACTTAGGTTAAGCTCTGTGTTGTCGAGGTACAAACTTTCTGTCTTGATTCTACTGAGCATGCACTCCTATTGAATGTAGTCTGTCGCGTCCGCCTCGACCAGCAAGGAAGACGCAATACCAGGCTCTTCTCCAAGCAGTTTATTCAGGAACCTTGAACAATCTTCTGACCCCGGGGAAAGCCATCTTCTTCTTCTCTACCTCCAATCTCTCTCTCTCTCTCTCTCTCTCTCTCTCTCTCTCTCTCTCTCTCTCTCTCTCTCTCTCTCTCTCACTCTCACTCTGATCTCCTATCTCCTCCGATCTTCTATCTCCCCCTTCTCTCCTCCGATCTTCCTCCTGGGGAAAGCCAGTCCACGCCCTTTATAGCCACTGGGCAATCAACCCCGTAGTGCCATGTGGACAATGCCAATCGGGTCAGACATACGCAAGCAAGCCAGATTAGGTCCAGGTGTGCGGAAGCAAGCCAGATCCTAGCTTTAGCCGAATAAGGAGTTGTTTATCCCAGAGAACACCTGCCATCGGGAAGGCAGAAGCCAGACGCCGCGCCATCTTTGAGGCACGGCCGTGCACGGCTCTCTACAGTAGTCAACTTGTGTGTCCTTTGAGTTTCTTCTTAGAATGTTCAACAATGTTCACCCCATGTACTTGCTGATGTGTCATTTTGTGTGCAGGTGCAGTGGCTAGCCTGTATCTATGACCTGGGTTTTAATTATCTATGTACTTAGTATGGGGGACACACACATGAATATGAAGGTCAGAAGGCAGCTTGCAGGATTTGGTTCTCTCCTGCCATGAGAGTCCTGGGACTTGAAGTCAAGTCACCAAGGTTGGCAACAAATGCCTTTACCCGATGAGCCATCTTATCAGCCATAATTGGATATGCTTGTTATCAGTGTGTATGTCCTGTATGTCACAGTAAAGTATGTGTTAAGTGGTACAATTACATGATAAAGTTTTTCCACCCTCAAAACGAATTTATTTAAAGAGGCCTGCAAATGCACAAGAGTACAGCGTGATTCTCAGACAAGCTGAGCTGCCTAGAAGAGGCCCCGATGAGCCAAGCCAACTGGAAGAGGCTCCAGACACCTGAAGACAGTTGTTTTGGTCTGAAAACATACTGAAAGACAATCCCCAACCTGTCAGGCTCCCTGCGGGCTGAGCAGTGAGCTCCAGGTCCCCAGCTTTCATGAGCTGTCACCCATGCTGGGGTGGGCTTTGGTGGTACAGCTGGCTTTGAGTCACTTCTGCCCCTGTAAGTACCCCTCATCCAGATGTCTATAAACAACCCAATAAAACTCACTGGTCCATGAAGCTGGATTTTAATGGTGTTCTTACCTTGGTCAGTTAGTCAGTTCCCTATATGGGATGAGTAGACTCCCAGGAATAGCGTCCCATAGCAGACAGTATTACACAATGCTTCCTATTAGAGTCTCTGTTCACTCTCTGAAAAGTGAAATAATATTTTAACCTATGGGATCCTGACTTCTCACAGGACTGGTCTCTTGTTTTTATTCTTGTCATAAATAATAATTGGTACATGGGTAAAGAATCTTCTGGAATGGAATTCAAAGAGATACTGTATTGTTTTCCAATTCTCCTATAATGTGATTGTTCATTTAATCCCCAATAGAATCTGGTGAAATACCAAAATAAAATGACAGATCAAGTTATTATCCTCAAACAAAGGGTATAATAATTTAGCTACAGAGGATTAACCTCTTCTAGAATTATAGCTAGCCACTCCATATGAGATCATAGCTATGGAATCAAACAGCCAGAGGAAAAACTAGAATTAAAGAATATATTATTTAATTTTCTGTTGGTGTGACAAAATACCCTGAGAAAAGGCAACACAGGAAAGAGGGGGTCATTTGGCTTAAAACTGCAGAGAGGATATATGGTAGCTTTGATGAGAATGACTGCTATTTGCTCGTGTTTGAATACTTGATTCAAACAGTTGGTGGAACTGTTTGGGAAGGGGTTGACGGTACGACCTATTTAGAGGAGATATGTGACTGAGGGTGGGCCCTGAGGTTTCAAAAGACACATGCC